TTATTCTTCCACTCTGTCCATTGATTCTTTCTTTCTTTCTTTCTTTCTTTCTTTCTTTCTTTTAATGCTACAATTATTTTATTCTTCCACTCTGTCCATTGATTCTTTCTTTCTTTCTTTCTTTCTTTCTTTCTTTCTTTCTTTCTTTCTTTCTTTTTGTCTGTCTGTCTCTATTTCTTTTAAAGCTATAATTATTTTATTCTTCCAACCTATTCTTTCTTTCTTTCTTTTAATGTTACAATTATTTTATTCTTCCAGTCTGTCCATTCGTTCTTTCTTTCTTTCATTCAACCATTCTATCTTTCTTTCTTTCTTTTTTCTTTCTTTCTTTTTTTCTCGTTCCTGTAACAGATATTTTTCATTTTTATCATTTTTTTAACGTTTATAATTTCTTTTTCTTCCTCGTCTTTTTCGATCGACTAATATTTGAATGCATAAACAGTTTTTTTTTTATTTCTCGTTCCTCTAACAGATTTTTTTAAATAAATTTATGCTTTTATCTTTCTTCAGAAATACTTTAGTACAATCTTGTATCACCATTAAAAACAATTATGGTGAATTAAATGAAAACATTTTTCAAAAAGACATTTTATCAATGAAATATGCCAAAAATAGAAGTTGCCTCCGAAATATGTATGCATACAGAAATTATATATAAATATATATATGTGTGTGTGTATGTGTGTGTGTGTGTGTGTGTGTGTGTGTGTGTGTGTGTGTGTGCGTGTATATAGAGAGAGATAGCAAGACAGGAAGACAGACAGAAAGACCAGAAAGACAGTTTTCCTCTCTCTCTCTCTCTGTCTATACATATATATATATATATATATATATATATATATATATATCAAGGTAAGATGAGAACGAATAGAGTACAATTCCAACGTTCGTAACATTCAATTTAAGAGTGCTCAATACAAAGTAGAGTAATAATATTTATTTTAGGATATTACATCGAAAAACATGTCAAAATCGCTACGCAATTGTAGTCATGTTTCGATGCTTATCAATGCATCTCATCAGGCGATTGTAAATTACTGGCGAGTAAACGATTTATTCAGATTTAAAAAGCGAAATACAGCTTCTTTTTATGAAAAAAAGAAAACAGACGGGTGTTTATAAGGTTTGTGGGCTTTACTCAGATCAAAAGGTGTGATGTATAAATTATCGTCTAAATTACGCCAAAATGAAAATAACCCTGACATCTCATTTTAACAGATATATTTACCAAAATTGCACAAATGTATCTTGAAATACTAAAGAGTAAATTTATTTAATAAAACCGCCATTGGCTTCAACCACAGCCTACAGACGACTTCAGAATCTCCTGCAACTCTTCTGGACGGTCTCCTTTTTAAAGTTGATGAATGCTGCCATAATCATTGCCTTGTTCGCCTTTGGTATTGCAAGAAGTTTTTGGTCTCTCGCTCAACTGCGCCCCACACTTAAAAATCAAGGGGGTTGCAGTCTGGGGAGTTAGGTTTGCCAGATGTAAGGGGTGATGTGGCCGCAGAAATAGTCTGGGTTCTCCTGCTTGTGTGGCATGGTGCAGTGTGATACATAGCAGCCACTCTGTTGTCCCAGGGCAGCACTACCGCCTCAAGGCACTTACTGTAGGCCTCACTGTTGAATCTGAGTACCTGTGGGAAGATGAAAGATGGCATAACTTCGCCATCACTAAAGATGACTCCAAACACCATTATGAGAACTGGATATATCATCCAAATCCTCGGGATTGTCTTCGGGTTGACACCCAAACACTTTGAAATGTTTGTATTGGAGCTTATGCCTTTTCCAAATTTCAGGCGAAGCGAATTGCGTCATGATGCTCTTTTTCTCAAAGACCGTACCCAACTGACCCGGCTATACAGTGCAGTCGACAAAATCAAAAACAAACAACGTGCATGCACAAAATTAAAAATATAAAATGGCTGCAATTTACCCATCTCACCTCTGTATATATATATATATATATATATATATATATATATATATATAATTTAATGATCTGGTGCTCCCGCTGTCGAGGTCCTCGACAAAGAAAAGAGACGAATATGCAAGATGATATGTCCTGACCTGGCATCTAGCATACAATCGCTATCCCACAGACGTCCAGTGGCTTCCCTCTGTCTCTTCTACAAGTATTTTCACAGCAATTGTTCTGACGAGCTACTATCGCTGGTTCCCAGGCTGCATGAATTTAAGCAAGCTACCAGGCTGGCATCTCGGTCCCACCCTTTCACTGTCAAAATGGTTAAATGTAACCGTCTCTTCTACTCAAACAGCTTCTTCTCCCACTCTTCCCGTCTGTGGAACTTCCTTCCCGTTACTTGCTTCTCCGATGGATATAATCTTCAAATATTCAAGTGTATTGCCAATCGACATCTGACACCCTGAGCTTGTTCCCCGTCCTTCTCTATATCCTTTTCTCAAACACACCTCTTTAATCTTGTTCCCAATCCTCTGCAACCCCTTGCGTGCAAGTGGCACTCCCGCCTTGCTTGTGGTGAGTTGCTTTAAAGAAATGTCTTTGAAAATTACATAAGGCATTCTTTTAAAGGAACCTCTTTTTAGTCGTAGCCCTTTAATTATTCCCCGTTTTTACCGTTTTCACTTTCGAAGTTTTCATTATTGTCCTTTCAACGAATCTTTGTGGAGAAATGCTGGACGAAAAAGGTTCTTTTAAAAGAGTGCGTTCAGTCATTTCCATGTGTGTGTGTGTATAAAATATTAAATAAAAACACTATTTAACTGTTACTGCTGTCCGCGACTATAAGTTTCATGTGAATGTATAGATTTTAATATTGCTGCTACACTATATTCAGGCGGTAAAAGTCTATATAATAGATACTCATAAAAATACGCTAGTCCTAGGCATGGCGATAAACTGCATCATGCAGCAAGGCCTCTGATCGGAAAATAGGAGGTTTTGACGAGCTGAGAATCACCTCTTAAATGCTGCTGTTCCCGGGTCCATCCTGACCCAGGGTGGTAGAATCTGTTAGGGTCCTAGCTATGGGCAAACAGTGACAACACCTCCCGCCCCAAAATCAATCTCAAACAATATGAAAGTATAAAAATACAGTTTTTATATTAAAAATACCAGCAATACATTTTCATATAAAAGTGTATTGCTGGTATCTTTAATAATAAAAAATTACCAACTACACCTATTGATAGTAAAATTAGCAACAACACCTATTGATTGTAAAATTACCAGCAATATTTTTATCTGTAGTTGATGGAATGCAAATGCGTTCAAAATTTCGGCAAGATTTTAATATCAAATAACCAATATTGGTGTTGATATTCCGTGAAACAACCAATATAAAAGAACTCTTTCATGATATTAATCCATATAATATCTTATAATTTCTTAAAGTAATCAAACTGTATTCCAAAATATAATTTCAATAAAACTACAACATAAAACACACATATCACTGCCTCTAGTAATCATATCCTAACATGTATATGCACAGAAGCTGCGAATCATCTACCATGTATTCAATTGTGAAAGCAGAATAACATATGATATTTTTATTACTTCAAAGCTCCCAAGAAAATAACATTTTGGCATTGGATGACCCATAACGTGTTGATATGCAGTTAAATAAACAAATTAATCAATCAATCATAAAAAATATTAACCTCTATATATATGCATAAAAATTATTTTCACGTGAGCAATAACATTCAAGTACTTTTTTTCTTACATATAATATTTTCTGTTTTGTGTATCTTTTATATAATGCATTGACTACGGTATTTATAGAGTCTCTGAATGCTGTTTTCATTATATATATATATATATATATATATATATATATATATATATATATATGTATGTATGTATTATAAATTAACTGATTTAAAATATGTTTTTTGTCGCTACACAGTAATAACCATGTTTCAAAAACCGAAGCTAAAACTTCAAATATAATTATATAATTAAATTAAAAGCATTATTTTTGTTTCGTCTTCATATTGGAATAACTTATCTTTAAATTTACTGTATTTTAAACGCACATATAAATTCATAATTTCCTGTTTCCAAGGATACTTAGAAATCCAGTCATTCGGACATGGACGGTTGAGTGTTCATTTTTATTAACTATTGTTATATCAATTATGAGTTAAGTTCGAAAAACAGGTTAAGTTTTTTTTTGAGGAGTAGGGGTGTATTTTTCAACGAATTCTGACATCCGTTAAATGCATGTCGTCTGGGATTTTTTTATTAACATCAAAAAAGTTTTTCCGCATTTTATTGGTACTTGTATACTTAAAGATTATATATATATATATATATATATATATATATATATATATATATATATATATATATAAAATTAGTCAGCATATAAAGTGATTTCGCCATTAATCGCATTAATATTGCTGATTGATTCTATGTATGATTATTTCTTCATATATATATTTATATATATATATATATATATATAGGCAGTTTTTTTGTCATAAAGTGCTCAATATCAAAATGTAAAAGTAGAGCATTAATAAAAGTAGCAGCAGAGAAAACAACAGCCCTGAAGAGCAAGGTTAAATCAATGTTTTTTGAACTTCAAATTTTCCATGATTTTCGGACGCTTCCTCTGTAGCTAAATGCCATAGTTCCGTGTAGGATACAGGTTTCTATGAAATTTCTCGGCCATTCAGGCCGGTAAATATTCTTTTTACTGTTAACAGAATATTTACTTAAATATTTGTATCTATAAAAATAACGTATAAACAAAAATATATTAAAATAATTATCTATATATATGTGTGTATGTATTCGCTTCAAATTATAGTTTATACGAATTTATGTTCAGTTTTGTGTTACCTTTTTTTTTTTAAAAAAAAAAGGCAGTTTTCCGCTATTTTCAGACTTAATTGATTTCTTAAAAGCAAATTTTACAAAATACATTTCAGAAAGTTTAATTATATTCTCGGAAGTTGTGTTTGCCCGGACAATACCAAATTACCCGCATATCGTGTGCCTCTTAATCTAATGTCATGTTATTAATGACAAAGAAAATTATAGCAAGAAAACATTTCGGAGAGAAAAAGTGAAAGAGAGAAGCGAAGAAATTAAAAAGGAAAAGAAGCAGAAGGTTTAAAGAGAGAAACGAGGAGGTGGAGAGAGAAATAACGAACGGGGTGGATAGTGAAAGAGAGAAGAATGGGGGGAAAGAGAAAGAGAGCAAGAAGAAGCGAATGCTTGCTAAAGAGAGAAACACAGAGAGAATCGGATAAGAAAGAGACAAAAGAGACAGGGAGAGAAAAATAATGATAGAAAGAGAAAGAGACCAAGATATAAGAGAGTTAAACAAAGAAAGAAATTGAATGAAGTAGAGAGAGAGGGAGAGAGAGAAAGAGAGAATCTGATAGAGAAAGGGGGAGAAGAAATAGAGAAAATAAAAAGCATGAAAAGGGAGTGAAAAGGAGAAAAGGAAAAGAATGATAAAGAACGTAAAGAGAGTGAGCAAAAATAGAGACACTGAGAGATAGTAAAGAGATAGGGGGGAGAGCAAAAAAGAGGAATCAAACTGAGATGAGAAAGAAAGAAAGAAAGAAAGAAAGAAAGAATGAAAGTATTGTGAGACCGGAACTACCTACACAATAGACTCTTCCAGGCAGAGAGTGACAGAGAGTGACACAGAGAGTCAGAGAGACAGTGACAGCCGCGTACGACTACCAGTATTGGACACTAACATATAGTAAGCTCCGCTTACACTATCTCTGTAACCTGTTGTTAATATATCTTTCTTACATCTAATCCGTGTTCCGTGTTTTACTTCTGTGGTCCCGACTTTGGCCCCACATCAGAAAGAAAGAAAGAAAGAAAGAAAGAAATCAAGGAAAAAGAAAGAGAGAGAGAGAGAGGGAGAGAAAGAGGGAATCGAAATTAATTGCTTAGGCGTTATTTGTTTAGATCGACGCAAATGAGGACAACAAACCTTGAGCAATTATTTAGGAAGCTAGTCTTGTGTGCGATTATTTCAAAAATAAGATCGAACCTCGTTAGGGAGACATACACTCGTCATCCTGTGCAGAGACTAGAAGCCATAGCCCAACATATCATACGATTTGGGAATCAGACCGACTCTGTGAGCAAATTAAAAGCATTCCGGGCCGTAGCCGGACCTGCAATCCTGAAATTCTAGATACCCAAGTTTTCATTACTGCAATTGTTTTGCGGCGATTTTTTTTATTTTGCGGCGAATTTTTTTATTTTGCGACGAATTTTTATTTTGCGGCGAATTTTTCTTTTGCGGCGAATTTTTTGTACGATAACAATTTTTATTACTTGGGAATAAATTTTGGGAATAATCAAAATTAACTGCGAAATCCAGCGAAAGTCACCCATGAAATAAAAATAATTTTTGAACGGAAAGTAAAGACCTACGTACATCAAATTGTCTTTAAATTAAGTGGCGGTAGAAGAATTATGGTTGAATTTTTAAAAGGTACTCTTTTTAGATTAATGCAGCGACCAATTTTGAGTGGTAAAGTTTATTGTTGCCTATCGTATCTACTACACTATATATATTGTGATAAAAGTCCAATCACGAGCTTTCTGCAAGAGCTAGCTTAAATGCCGCCCACGACAGCTTCTTAGCTAATTCATATATATATATATATATATATATATATATATGTGTGTGTGTGTGTGTGTGTGTGTGTGTAAAATAAGAGCTAAAGCTTAAAATATAATGCAAAATGAAGGCTGAATGCCAAATTCGACAGAGCCTAAATATAATATAATATAATAATAATTATAATAAATAATTAAATAATAATTATAATAATAATAATATAATAATGAATATAATAATACCTGATTGTCATTGCATAAGACTCTGAATAGCAGACTAGGTATTATAATACACACACACACGCACGCACACACACACACACACATATATATATATATATATATATATATATATATATATATATATATATATATATTAATTCAATAATACCAAAATCCAGTACTCTTTCTGCCTGATGATTGCTATCACATGAATCTCAGATTTGCAGATTTTGGCATTATTTAATTAATATATATATATATATATATATATATATATATATATATATATATATATATATATATACAAATGAAATGTGAACGAATCAAATATATATTCAAACGTCCACAATATTAATTTAAAAATAGTGCTCAATACAATAGTAGAACAATATTATTTATTATAGGACATTACATTCGAACATATGTAAAACCGCTACATAAATGCACTCATGTTTCGATGCATATGATCGCCTCTCATCAGCCGGTAGGAAATGAGGATTATTACAATTTTTAATATACATCTAATCTCTTTTCCTGCGAAAAATAGAAAATAAGAAAAGCAAGCAAGAGATTAAGACATAAGATGGAGTCTCAGCTAAAAAGTAAAAAGAAAGAAAGACACAAGATATAGTCTCTTTTCCAAATAAAAAGAAGAGAGAAAGATAAATGGATAAAGGATGATATGCAAATGTAAAGAAGCTACACAAGACATGTTGATAATCGGTTAAACCAATAATATCCTCTATCAAGTGTTCTAAGAAATAGGACTCAAGATAAACCTTTCCAAAATAGAAACTATGATCTGAAAGTTTGTCTAATTTTGTAATACTTAACCGTGTAGGCATCAGACACTGGAGAAAAGGTTTGAGCTGAAATACGACGTTTTTTATAAGATAATATTAGGGTTTAATAATGTTTGTGACACTGTATATATATATATATATATATATATATATATATATATATATATATATATATATATATATATATATATATATACAAATACAGTACATCCATCATATTCAACAGACGGATGGACTGTCTATCCGTCTGGGTTGAATAAAACTAACGTACTCGACGTCAGTTGGAATACACTATACCCATTAGGTAATTTTGGATTTCTCTGTTGTGTTATATATATATATATATATATATATATATATATATATATATAATTGCTCATATATGTGTGTTTGTATGAAGTTTATTTGGGCAGATATTACGACTGAAGATATATTAGTGTTATTCGGCATTGATTTATATAAGTTTAAATGGATTGATGTTAGAGATATGAAGATTATTTTGCGACAGATTTTGAAATGCAACTATCTCAGCCATATGACATTATTTTCATCTGTTTTTCTTTTTGTCCGCCACTCTTTTTCCTTTACGTCTATTTCTCTGTCTCTCTCCCTCTCAATTCCTCTGTCTCTCTCCCTCTCAATTCCTCTGTCTCTCTCTGTTCCACTTTCTCCCGATTTCCACACGTTTATCTGTCTACCTTTCTATGTTCTCCAGACTGTCTCTCTTGCCTGTTTCTTTCTCTCATTCTCTCTCTCCCTCCCCCACTCTCTCTCTCTCTGTCTTTCTTCGCCTGTCTTTTTCCCTCATATCTGTCTTTCCTATTGGTTTCTCTCTTCCTCTGTCCGCTTCAGTGTTTTCCCCTCTCTCACTTTTCCTATCTTTCTCTTACACACTCTCTCTTTTATTCCAGTCTCTTTTTTTCTCTCTCTCTCTCTCTCTCTTTCGCTCTCTAACGCTCCCCCCATCTCTTTCTCTTTCCATGTCTATCTCTCCACTCCTATCTGTCTCTCTCTCTTCCCCTGTTTCTTTCTTCCCCTGTCTCTCTCTCTCTCTCCCCCCCCCCCTTCGTCTCTTTTAATGGCGTTAGCTTTTTTTTTAAGCATTTCCTCTTCCTACCTTTCCTCTTTCTTCCGCCTCCTGGACGTCTCATTTAATGAACTAGATAACCCTAACCCAACCATCCACCAACCATCAGTGACTTCTGTCTCTCCTCACTCTCGCTATTTTTCCCGCCATGCATTTCCCTCCATTGCCATGAATTTTTTTTCTAAAATGGCGATCGCCCTAAAAGTACACCTTCGCCCGACTTTTACTATCATGACGCTTAATAACGCTTTCAACCAAATTTATTCCGTTTCTACAACATCAGCAGGAGCAGCAGCAGCAACGCATCTTGCAGTTACGTCATTGCTTGTTGGAGAAGCACCATCAACTCTTGCAGTTTCCATAGTAATAATGGTATTAACGACTGGTAGTACCAGTATTAATCGCACTGAAGCGTTGATATTCGTGTCAACAGAGGACGGCAGAAATTAG